CACTAGTACTGAATATAGTGAAGCTCTTTTGCAGGCTATTGATATTGGGTAAAAGTTTAAATGACTGTTATTTAAAGATACCCAAATGTATGTTTTCAAGTTCATGGGCTATTAAATGATATAGAGTAAATGTTGTGACCAAATTCGTTTCATGTTTTGTATACTAATGACTTGATATGAAATAATGGTCTACTCTGAACATCTCATGGGATACTTCAGTAGGGAGTAGGGATGTGGAATTATAAAATTAAGACGAGACTTACCTGTAAGGTGAAGTTTGATAGTAATTCCACAGACCTATGACATACTGAGGTATCACATGCCCACCTCTCCCACCCTAAGAACAGACCATTATTTCATGCGTTGAAAAAAAGTGCAATGTACCTCTATGCGAAGCATACCGCCCAGTCATCTCATGTGATACCTCAGTATGTCATGGGTCTGTGGAATTACTATCAAACTTCACCTTACAGGTGTTCAAGTCTCGCCTTCTAATTTAATGTGATATAAATCAATGCGTTTTGTGAAGAACGTGTGGTGAAATAGACAAATGAAATTATATAAACAGTTAATTTACTGTCATAACATATAAAAAGCTCGCGCCTTTGAGATATCAATAAAACATTAGAAAAATAGCTCACACCAAAGCCTTCACCGAGTATTCACCCGTCAACCCGCTTCCAAGCTGCGCGAACCTATTTCACTGCGCACATGCTATGAGCGCAGCCCAGCTGTTGAAACCCGTTTTCCCCAGAAAAGTCTGGGAAACATTAGTAAAACGTTTGAACTCCGATTTCGCGCGTTTTTTTTCATCGCGTTATTTTTCAACTTTATAAGTTGAATTTGCATTTTTGACGATTTGTTTCGGTATGTCCTTACCGAAAGGTATCAGAATCTGCAAAGTTGTGTTTTACGTTGCATGTGACCTTTAAGGATACTGTATCTTTATTGGATAAGCTAGGGTTTACTGTGCATCCAAAGAAGTCTGTCCTCTCACCATCCAAGCAAATCACTTACTTGGGCTTTGATCTCAACAGTGAAACTATGACGGTCAACTTGACGTCCGATAAGTGTGAAAAGATTGCTTCATACTGTGAAAAAAATGTTAAGTGAAGAAAATGTGACAATTAGGCAATTGGCTACATTAGTGGGACAAATGAATGCAGCATATCCTGGTGTGAAATATGCCCCTTTGTTTTATAAAAGGCTGGAGAATTTCAAAAATCTCTCGCTAAAACAGGCCAAGGGGGAATTATGATGTAAGCATTAGTTTGTCTGGTGACTGCAGGGAGGACATTCAGTGGTGGATAGACAATGTAGGAAAGTGGCACCAGAGTTTAAGTGAGTCGCAGCCTGAACTTACTATTAAGTCAGATGCATCTAACTCCGGCTTGGGTGCAGTGTTTGGTGATACTCGCACTGGTGGTTTATAGTCAGAGAATGAAAAAGTAATGCACATAAATTATCTGGAAATTCTGGCAGGCTGGTTAGCCCTGAAATCATTAATGAATGACAAGTACAATACACATATTAGAATTATGATGGACAATACTACAGCTGTAGCATATGTCAATAACATGGGTGGTTCTAAACTATTGTGCAATGCTGTAACTCGTGAAATGTGGCTATGGTCTAAAGACCGTGGTATTCGGCTGTCGGCAGGGCATATACCCGGCGTTACCAATATTGAAGCAGATTTTGAATCTCGAAATTTCATTGATGATGCAGAATGGAAACTTAATAAGCATGTGTTTGATGCAATCGTAGAACAATTTGGAAAGCCTCATATTGATCTGTTTGGAAGTAGGATAAATTTCCAGATATCTCCTTATGTGTCTTGGCACCCTGACCCAACCGTGTTGCTGTTGATGCGTTTACATGTTTTTGGGGTGGTGACTTACAATATGTGTTTTGTCCATTCAGTCTACTGAATAAGATCGACAACGATTGTGCGGATGTCATTCTGATAGCACCTTTGTGGACCACACAATTCTGGTTCACCAGAATCCTGGAACTGTTGATAGACTGTCCCAGACTCCTACCCAAGAGCAAGAAACTCCTGACTCTCACTCATCTACCCAACAAGATTCATCCGCTGTGGAACAAACTTCGGCTGACAGCCTTCAAGCTGTCAGGAGATCACTCCAAAGTCAAGGCTTATCGACAGATGCTGTCAACATCATATTGCAATCATGGAGAGGTTCCACAAAGAAACAGTACAAGTCATATCACAAAAGATGGATGCAGTTTTGTGCTAAGGAACACTGCAATACCGTTTCACCAACTATCAGCCAGGTTTTGAATTTCTTAACTGAGCTCTACCACAGTGGGCTTGGATATTCAGCGTTAGACACTGCCAGATCTACCTTTGTGTTGGTTGACGGAGTAGCAGTTGGGCAACATCACCTAGTCAGGAGACTATTGAAAGGAATATTCAATTTGAGACCTGCTTTGTCCAGATATGGGGTGACCTGGGATGTGTCTAAAGTGTTGACATATCTTCAGACTAAGTCAGCTGATTGTGCCAGTTTGAAATGGATGACTCTGAAGTCTGTAACTTTGTTGGCACTTTTGACAGGACAGAGACTTCAGTCTTTAAACTTGATTGATGTAAGAAATGTTGAGTTTTTGCCTGATAGAGTTAAAGTTAGATTTGGTGATATTTTAAAGCAATCAAGGCCAGGTTTTCACCAACATGAGTTGACTCTTACTAGATATTCAGATGTTTCACTGTGTGTAGTTAGTACTCTAGAGAAATACATGGACATGACTAAGAGCCTCAGAGTTGCAGAAACAGCCTTGTTTATTGCTTTGTCCAAACCACATAAACAAGTGAGCAAGGACACAATTTCAAGATGGATCAAACTAGTGTTGGCTAGTGCAGGTATTAACATGACAATATTCAAACCACACAGTGTGCGGATGGCCTCTACTAGTCCAGCAGCATCCGCAAAAGTCAAGTTACAAACAATTCTGCGCACAGCAGGCTGGAGCTCCGAGTGTGTGTTCAGAAAACATTATGACAAGCCTATAGAATATATAATTATATAATATAAATAGGTATAAGATATAATAGAGAAGGCCAGTCCTTGAAAATGTAAATGAAGGGTTTAATGAGGAATGGGCTGAAGTATGGATGTGAAAAAATATATATACTGGAATATATTGTTCTGTAACTACATAAAGATAAATATCTATGCGGACGGTTTGGGGTGTATCACTTAAGCCGATGTTAAGATAAGGGCCCATGACTGAAGAAAATGGGCAAAACGTAAATACCATTGCGAGGTTGATGGGAGAGTTTGTAAAAGAACACAAGACCTCTATTAAAATCTGAAATGGAAACGCTTTTAGCAGTATTCCCGCAACATCACGGCGGGGGACACCAGAAATGGACTTCACCGATTATACCCATGTGGGGAATCCACTGGGCCCCAAGCAACTATTGAGAACCTTTTGGGTAATCATGAGAAGTACTTCTAGGAAACTGGAATAAAATCCCTCCAACATCGCTAGCAAAGGTATACCAATATGGAAATGGATAACAAATATTTCATGTGTCTTTATGATAAGTCTTTCTAAGTGAGCCTCTAAATCACGCACACTGACTCTTGTCATATAAACTGTTTTGTTGTTTTTTTGTTAAACGCCGCATTCAGCAATCTTCCAGCTATATGGCGGCGTTGTGGAAATAATCGAGTCTGGATCAGACAATCTAGTGATCAACAGCATGAGCATCGATCTACGCAACTGGGATAAGATGAAATGTGTCAAACAAGTCAGTGAGCTGTATGAACCAATGCGAAGAGAAGCATTAACACAAAGACGGAATGAGAGAGAGAATGTTCTGTTACACTTCAGACCGCACTAATTTCAGCAGCATCACCACGAACAATAAATAATTCAGACAAACATTGGTCCACTTCACTGGACATGATGACAAACAATCAGCAAGATACAAAATGAAGCATACAACTTCTTGTTTATTACTTAGAGCGACGTTTCGATGTAGATTCATACACCATTTTACCCGTGAAGATCCGGAATAGAGTTGATCTTCTGTAACCCATGTTTGTCGTAAGAGGCGACTAACGGGATCGGGTCGTCAGGCTCGCTGACTTGGTTGACACATCTCATCGGTTCCCATTGCGTAGATGGATACTCATGCTATTGATCACTGGATTGTCTGATCCAGACTCGATTATTCACAGACCGCCGCTATATAGCTAGAATATTGCTGAGTGCGGCGTAAACCTAAACTCACTCACTCACTCACTCTTACACCATTATCAAGCTAATAGTGCTCTATGTAATAAACAAGAAGTTGTCATCCATAAAGTTGTATGCTTCATTATTGACTCACCAACTTCAAGAATGTCGATCAAACAATTAATGAGCAAGGTCAAACATCTTATCCACACACATTCCCATTTTCAAAATCTAAACTGTATCCAACAAAGCTACTATATATCTCGCGCAGCCTTAAAAGAACTTTAACCGAAATAGCGTGTCAAAGACTGCTGATGTGTACCCAAACAGATCCTCATTTTCAAAGTCTAAATTTTATCCAGCAAAACTACAACATATCAGCGTTAAAAGCAGTTTAAACGTTATGGCGCGTCAAAGACTGGTGATGACGTTAACCCAACTCACATAACCGCAATACGAGTCTTGAGATGATGCCATCTTCGTATGCCTGTGAGATGGATATCTGACATTTGCCAACAGTGATGCCTTTCCTAAGTTGAGTACCTAGCCACCCCCCTGTAGTATTGCTCATGTGAGTCCGGAATCTGTAATTAATGTTGGCCTCTAAAGTAGGCTGAGCTGACAGTTCCACTTCCACTTCCGTCCCATCAGTTCTCACAGGCTTTGCTGACATCCTCATCTGATCAATCCAACGCCGTGGAGTTCCCTGTATCCTATCCAGCACTATGTTATACCTGCTGGTGTCGCTACCAAATGCCCACAGGCCGATCAAACGCAGGTTATGGCTACATGTGATGGTGATGTAGGATTCCAACTCGCTGAGATCAGTGCGGATCCTGTTTCCATACAAAGAGACTGCAGGTGCTGGTCTCACTTTGAATGGTGATGCGTCAGTCCCAGATATACATAAGAAACAGAATAATTTTGTACATTCATCTCCTGACAATATTCCAGATGGAACAACCGTTTTGGCAAACTCCTGTATCCCCATTGCTGTGAAGCCAAGGTCATACACTGACTCCCCAAGAACTTGTCGCTTGTTTTCTGGAGTGCTTTCCAATTCCCTTCGCTTTATTTTCTTCCTCAGCCCACAAGATGGCAGCACCAAACATTCTTTCCGGTTTTACAATATACTCCTCTCCACTAACTGCACTGACAATGTTTTGGAAACACGTTTGACACAGATCTTTGAAGCTATAGCTCTCTAGTGCAACATCTCCATTCTGAACAATGACGTTCAAGGCCCTGTCAAACAGTGTTTCCTCATCAAAGACGTGGGCTTGTTCCAAGATGACACAGGCGTTCTCTGCCGTCAGGGACGATTCCAGGTAAGCCACACATAGACGCTCAAGACCCCCCACAGAGTACTTCTTGGCCAGGTACAACAGACCTGTCACATTCTCAGCGGTCAGGGTTGTCGTGTCTGTATACAGAAATCTGCAAATATATATGTATTTTACATCGGGAAATTTCAGTAAGGACTATGTACAGTAATAAATACAAATGGAGAAAGCAGGGTTTTTTTCACAAAATGAACGTTTATGGCAGGAAATGTATTACAGTATATTCATTGTACTGGCGATCGACCTGGGAAGTTTGGGGTTTTCCTCCCATATGAGGCTGACACGCCCTTGCATCTTGACATTCTGTTCAAAGTGACGTTGTAATAAACACACTCACTGTTCATAACAAGGAGACCCGTGAAGATCAGGGTTAGAATTGATCTTCAGTAACCCTTGCTTGTCGTAACAGGCGTCTAATGGGATCGGGTGGTCAGGCTCGCTGACTGGGTTGACACATGTCATCGTATCCCAATTGCGTAGATTGATGTTCACGCTGTTGATCCCTGGATTGTCTGGTCCAGATCTGATTATTTACAGACCGCCGCTACAGAGCTGGAATATTGCTGGGTGCGGCGTAAAACTAAACTCACTCACTCACTCATAACGAGGACGTGAATGCAAAATGCACGCTAGTCTGCTAGTCCGAGACAGTAAAATCCTGAATTCAAATGCTGGTAGTCCACGTTAACTGGTAGAGGTTGATGGCTGTTATTCTGAATTCTTGATGCCTTAATTGTGTTAGAGATTTGAACTGAATAAACTGACAGATATTTTTGTCTTTTTCAACCAAGGTGAGTGAGTGAATGTTCACAGCAATATTTCAGTTTTATCAGTATCAGTGTGTGGGCATCCCGAAGCACCGACGGGCTTTTGGTTTGGTTTGGTTGTTTAAAGCCACACTCAGCAATATTCCAGCTATATGACGGCGGTCTATAAATAATCGAGTCTGGACCAGAGAATCCGATGATCAACAGCATGAGCATCGATCTACGCAAGTGGGATGCGATGACATGTGTCAACCAAGTCAGCGAGCCTGACCACCCGATCCCGTTAGTCGCCTCTTACGACAAGCGTGGGTTGCTGAAGACCAATTCTAACCCGGATACTCATGGACCCGAGGGACTTTTAGACACCGTCTACTAGACGTACAAGGCACAACACTGACCATCACCTACCTCAACATGCCATTAAATATTTCTTCCTCCACATCAGGTATCCTTATTTCCTCTTTCTCCGCCAGGGGGCCACACAACATGGCGTGGAGCACACTACTCCGACTCATCAGAACATATCGGTGGGCTCGGACTATCCTCTCATTATTCCCAACCCGGAAGCTGACGTCACAAGAATCCTCAGAGGTCAACATATGGAGGTTACACTCTGCAAGGGACTTCCCACTTTGCCAGTTGTCATCGAACACAGAGTTGTCTTCTCTTACTTCTATTGAGGCCATTGATGTTTGCAGTTGCTATCTGAAGGAATGGCACCCTTTGAAGATCTTGCTGACGTCAACTCAGCCGACTGAACGAACGTTGTTTAAAGCCGCAATTAGTAATATGAAAACAAGGCGGTCTGTGAAAAATCGAATCGTGATATTTACAACATCGGTGAAACCCATAAGACTGTGTGTCTTGGGGACAATAAAAACAACAAAAAGAACCTTAGGAAATCACCATTGAACGATTCCATCTTTATCAAATGCATGTATGAAATGTCGACATTGCACTTTCCTTCTGCCATTCATGGGCATCTCAATCTCATTCAGTCACGCATATTTCAGCCACGTGAAAGATAATCTATGTTATGAGTATAGGTATGTTATAAAATTTACCATTTAACAAAAAAATAATATAATACGAAGCCATTGTCTTCTTTTTTACCAATAACTAAACACGATATTGCTAGTTTAAGCGTCCAATATGCTTTACTGTAATCTCACTCGAATATTAATCGAGATTGTGTTTTATTTGGGATTACACTAAATCCGTAAAACGCATCGAACGTTTCTTCGCTTCCGCTCATGTGGGGTAGCCTAGTGGTTCAAGCGTTTGCTCGTCACGCCGAATCCCCGGGTTCGATTCCCCACATGGGTAGAACGTGTGAAGCCCATTTGTGGTGTTCCCGTCGTGATATTGCTGGAATATTACTGAAAGCGGCGTAAAACTAAACTCACCCACTCACTCACTCTTGGCGAAAAAGCATTTGATATACAGAAACTTATTCAATATATATTCAGTTAAATAACATACTAGACACATTCTCACTTAACACAGCATATTAATATTATCTTAGAAGAATTATAGTAGAATTATGGTAGAATTATAATTACGTACAGCATTTCTAAACAAAGGACGTTGAAGGTTGGACCATGACAAACCGCTTACCTGTGGTATTGAGCGCAATGTTGAACTCTGACCGTCTGTCACGTGACTGAAAATATGGGCTGGGCTGGGCGCGATCGGTGATCAGAATAATCTATAATATTATTATGCTTATCATCAGACTGTAGTTCTCGTTGAAATTATACGTTCTGTGTGCGTGCGTGCGTGTGTGTGTGTGGGGGGGGGGGGCCGTTATAGTTCGAACTTAATATAATCTATCAATTCCACATAAACAATCATTTCGGACATTTTGCAAGCCGTTAAATATCAGACTGCATAGATCTGCAAGTTCTTGACATACAATAAGCATTGTGCGATAACTCGCCAAAATGTTGTACCATGGGTCTGACAGCGTATATGGCGCGGTGGGGTAGCCTGATGGTCTGATGGCCCAGGTTGTGTGAGTCAGTTGGGAGATTCCAGTGGATACATATTGCTGGAATATTGCTAAAAGCGTCGTAAAACCATACTCACTCACTACCATCAAAACTACCAGCCCCACTGAAAACCAACCAGTCCTATGAACATTGTCAAATATTATTCGATTAAAAAATTATAAAAGAAAAGCAGAAAAGGTATTACTGAAGGGCTTTATTGAAATGCACAACTTCTTCAAGCAGATGACCTTTGAACGCACATCAGGTTCACAAATAATCTCATCATAGTGTCACTGAGGGTAAAGGCTGGAGATATATCACTATCAATTCTGAATTAACTGTTTGAATGGAATTATTTAAATGACATTGTCGTCTCCAAAATATACAAAACCAACAACCTGCTATCAGTGTTGAACTAATGATACATCTATTTACTTGACAAAACAAAGACTGCATAATTTTTTAAGCAACATCAAATTGAATGAAAATATCATTACAAATTCCTCAAATCTACATAATTACAAAAACAAGTAAGCCAGCGGTCTGAAACATGGATTTAATCAACTTAAAATCACCATGGTTAAAGTAAGGTCACCACTTTTTAAAAGAGAACCATTTACTGCTCAGTGTTTAACTTTAAAACTACACACTGAGTACTATATTGACATGGACCATTCATTAATCAATTAAAGAGAGATCTGAATCATAATCGGTTTCTTGAAGATCTGAGTCAGCAAGCTTAGTTTAGTTTTACGCCGGTCTTAGCAATATTCAAACAATTTCAGGGCGGGGGACACCAGAAATAGGCTTCACGCAATGTTACCATGTAGGAAATCGAAACCGGGTTTTCGGCGTTAAGTCTGGAGAAGAAACCTTTTTGGGGTTAAATTCCTGGTTTTGTTACATTCCAGACATCTCTGTATTAACTGAGTCATGTTTCATTACATAACCTCTGTTGGCTGTAGGCTACACAACACCAAATGTTTTCCCATAGACTTCTATACTAACCATTTATTTTTTTTTAAATAATCCAGGCTGTCAACAGCCATTCCATGTACACATGACTGACTGACTGAGTCTAGTTTTACGCCGCTTTTAGCAATATCCCAGCAATATCACGGCGGGGGACACCAGAAATGGGCTTAACACATTGTGCCCATGTGGGGAATCGAACCCGGGTCTTCGGCGTGACGAGCCAACGCTTTAACCACTAGGCTACCCCACCGCCCCCCATGTACACATGGGTACAGTCAGGCCTTTAAACTACAATAAAACAAAAATTCTGACCAAATTGTCCGGCTCATTTTCACACTTCCGAGCACAGGAAGCGAAACACATCAACCCCAGTACACACAATATGCATAAGTCATGGTGAATGACAGCACTAAATACTTAAATTGTGGTCAGTTTTAATTACTGGATGAATGTACTTTCAAAAAGCATAAACATCTTACACTATTTCATCCAATCACAGCTGTCACAAGTACTCTGTCTCTTCAGTTGTTTACACACGGTGCTCGCTCAGGGAGCATGTGATTCTGATTTAGTGTAGTGGAACCTGTACGTCAGTGTGCTTAACCCCCTCCAAGTAATAAGGCTTCCTGTGATGTGCTTGGTTTTTGACACCATGGAGAAGCGTGGATAAGACGATAAACTAAATATCGGCTTCGATACTGTCTTATGGTAATGTTTTAAGCGATAATGGGTGAATATACGTTATTATTGTTCAACATTATCCTGTCTATCGGTCAGGTAAATTCTAATATTTACACGCTTGACTCGGACGTTCGGAAGGAAAGCTATTCTGAACACTGCAATAAGAATCGTTCACATATTCTAACCACAGATATAGCAAGTAGTTTATTACGGATATTGTTAAACGAATCCCTCCCATACACCATGGGACGTTATAGGTCACCCTGAACCTTCCATAAATAAAGCACTATTTCTTGACGAAAAGGGGCGGTTCAACCTTGTGGTTCAAGCGTTCGCTCGTCACGCCAAATATCCGGGTTCGATTCCCCACATGGGTACAATGTGTGAAGCCCATTTCTGGTGTCCCCCGCCGTGATATTGCTGGAATGTTGCTAAAAGCGGCGTAAAACTAAACTCACCCACTCACTCACTCTTGGCGAAAAAGCATTTGATATACAGAAACTTATTCAATATATATTCAGTTAAATAACATACTAGACACATTCTCACTTAACACAGCATATTAATATTATCTTAGAAGAATTATAGTAGAATTATGGTAGAATTATAATTACGTACAGCATTTCTAAACAAAGGACGTTGAAGGTTGGACCTTAGTGTCCCAGATGGCAGCTAAAGAGGAAGCTTTCTCATGGCAGGCCATGCTAATTGAAATATATCTTCGTGACACATACTTTTCGGTCTTAATATATCAAAGAAGTTAAATGTATTTTCCAGTGCTGAAGATACTCATGCTAGGGTGTAATCTCACACAGCCTGGCAGCTCAAATTTGCATTTGTTATGTAGTGAAGACATTCTGAAATTTGTTCGCAACGTTTCCGAGTAGTTGTTGTTGACAAGTCATGCATCACTGTTTTACCCAAGGAAGTGGAACAGTATGTACACATATACTGTACACTGTTTGACGAGCACTATGCATGCCAGTGTGTTGTCTCACTTTTGCTCCAATATGAGTCTGGAAATAAGACCCGGGCCACGTTCTTCTGTAACTGATATCTGACATTCACCAAGGGTGATAGTGTTGAATACGGAGGAGCCTGAGAATTCACTTTTATTTGACTCTCTTGGTATATTTGCAGCTGCCGTCACCATATGCCCAGACACCAGTCATACGCACGTCCTTGCTGCATGTGATGATGATGCTAGAATCCTGTTGACTGGTTCCGGATTGAATTTGACTTGCATACAGATTGACCCCCATGTGAAGCTCTGGCTTCATTTTGAAAGGAGCCACATCAGTATCATTTAAGATCAGGTAGCACAAAAGTTTGTTACTTTCATCACTTGATAATATCCCTGACGGTACAACTGTTTTTGCAAACATCTTCGTGTCCATGGAGGTGAAGGCAATATTATACACTGCTTCTCCCAGAACTAGGCGTTTGTTTTCCGGACTTGACTCCTTCCTTGGCGTTTACACTCTGACTCGGCCCACGAGAGGGCAGCACTGAAACTAGTTTCATCATTTGTTAAGAAATAATCTGCACTTACAACTTTATGAAAACAAGAAGCACAAAGTGATGTGAAGCCAGAGCTTTTAACAGTGGTAGCACCATGTTTGACAACAAGCTCCAGAGCCCTGTCAAAGAGCTTCTCCTCATCAAAGACGTGGGCTTGTTCCAAGATGACACAGGCGTTCTCTGCCGTCAGGGACGATTCCAGGTAAACCACACACAGACGCTCAAGACCCCCCACGGAGTACTTCTTGGCCAGGTACAACAGACCTGTCACATTCTCAGCAGTCAGGGTTGTCTTGTCTGTGTACAGGTACCTGTAAGTGATATATATTAATGACAGTTTGGCCTTGTTATTGTTTGAGCAAAGTCTGATTTGTAGTATAAACTGTATCCTGTCTGAATACTTTGATGCTACACGAACAAGGTCAGAGTTAAGCAATGATCATGCGTCTGGACAGGAATCTAAATGTAACATATTTATTGGCAGAAACACAATTTGACCTCAGCAGATACTGTCAGTCCGTTTACCGATCAGGTAAACGTTTATCGTTTCTGCGCTACTCATAAACCTAATCAGGTCTTCCTAACTCCTTTATAAAAGAACTCCATGATACTGCTGAGTTATTTATCAATATTACTATGACTTTTGACATTAACGGCAAGTGCAAATAAATAAAAACTGACAAAGTTTTATGAACGTATTTTTTAGATGAAATTGAATTGAGTTTGGTTTAATTCACAACATTTTTACTGAGGGCCCAAAGTCTCATGAAATTATTAAGAGCCTCACCTTTTTAAAAAAATATATAACGTATTGAAAATATAAACTAATGTCCAAAAGAAACGATACCACCTGTTTGAAGGGACATTAATGAAAAACAAAACTGTACAGAAATGTTAGATAAATTTTTTCATTTGAGATTTTTTTCAACAAAACGTGTACAAAGATTTCAGTCAATCCTTTGCAATCATTAGGACAGGCCTGTAAAGACGTGAGGGGTCCAAAATGAAAATTTCATTCAAACATACATGACGAGGCAAGTGTGGAAAATGTCACAACAGACATCTCAAAGCCACGTTAGTACCGGGCATCAGAGATACATATAAGCTGCGTATCTGCGTAAATTACGCAAATATATATGTGAAAACTCAATTCCTATTAAGTCTACTGCGTACAAGTACGCTTGAATTTTTGTAAATACTCAATAAATATGATCTTACATGCGTACACACAAAAATGTCAAATCTTAGCTTGGGTACCGGTGGATAGATAAAATAACTTAGGTATATTGAGATGTTGTATTTCAGGACATGAACGTGACAACTTGCAATCTTTCTTGTCGTTTCTCTTATTACAGATCAAATATAAATAACAGACACTAACATTTAAACTTCATTATATTTCTAAGATTAATGGAAAGTGGCAAAATACCCAATTGAGTTTGAGTTAGGTGAGTACGATTCATTTGGTTACTCAAAGGAAAAGTAGGATACCAACTGAGATGAACACAAGTTATCTGTAGCTCTGCGGGCATGTCAACCGTGAGCGTCAATACACGCCAGAACAGGTCTGTGGGCTGATGACGTCAAACGTCGGATGACGTTAGGGGGAATGCGTTGCCATTCATCAAGGGGACATTGTTCCAATTCCTGGAGGATGACTGGAGGCACAGGGCGATATCTGAGTTGGCGATCGATATAGTCCCAAAAGCGTTCGATGTTGGCGTTGGCGAGGTAGTTCTGACTCAGCCTTGCCGAAGGTGGCCTCGCATTATCGTGCTGGAAAATGATTCCACGAGGCTGTTGCTGGATGAATGGATCCACAACTGGTTGTAAAATATCATCTCCATAACGCTGTGCATGCAGGTTTACTCGAATAACGACGAGCCTCGTTTTGGCGTCACCGCAGATTCCACCCCAAATCATTAAACCTCTGCCTCCGAATGGCTGGACTTGATGAATGCAATTCTGTGCCAAACGTTTACTAACTCTTCGGTACACACACTGCCGACGATCGTTCCCGAGATTCAAAATTGAGGTGTTGAGGTGTCAGGAACGCTCCGCGGGTAGGGGCGACCATGTGCCAGCAATACTTGTACACGGTTTGTCAACTTATCACGTGTCCCAGTGCCGTCGTTGCCGTTAACGTCGCCGGAGATGAAGTACCCGGATGTGACGGTTTACAATAGGCGTGGTTACCAGTGGTCTCCCGCTTCTCGGCTTGTCTCTTGTCCAACCTCTTTCATGCAACCGCAAACATATTTTTCTCAATTGATCAAATGTTCCCAGACTGTTCGATCGAACACGTTTAGTTTGGAACATGGAAAACGCTCAAGTATGTTTTCATACAAAAAAGAATACTTAATTAAAAAATATATTGAAAAAAGTTTGGTATAGTTTCTTTTGCACATTAGTTTATATTTAAACCAAAGAGGGTTTAACGAACATGAAATCAATGTATTGTATATACTCTTCGTGTAGGGTTTCGGTACCAGGTACTAATACGTACGATACCTGAGTTTGTAAACTTAAAATCTTCAAGACAATATATGAAACCCTTAAGGGTAGCTGCACACGCCCGGTGTTGTTAACAGTACAGTAAAACACCGATGTGTGGGAACCTCTGGTTGTCTTGAAGTAAAAACTTGGCCCCGCGTATTCAGAATTTAGTCCTCATTTTGCGAACCCCTCATCAACCTTGACGCTTCGGTTTTTGACTGTATTAATTTGTTAATGCCCTGAGGGGATTTGTAATGTTATGAGTTATTATACCTGATCATAAACTGAGTTATATCTGGTGACTTGTATTGTATTGGAGATGGTCCCTGGGGGGATTTGTAATGTCATGAGTTATTATACCTGAGTATAAACTGAGTTATATCTGGTGACTTGTATTGTATTACAGATGGGCCCTGGTTTTTTTTGTAATGTCATGAGTTATTATAACTGAGTATAAACTGAGTTATATCTGGTGACCTGTATTGTATTAGAGATGGTCCCTGAGGGGATTTGTAATGTCATGAGTTATTATATCTGAGTATAAACTGAGTTATATCTGGTGACCTGTATTGTATTAGAGATGGTCCCTGAGGGGATTTGTAATGTCATGAGTTATTATATCTGAGTATAAACTGAGTTATATCTGGTGACTTGTATTGTATAAGAGATGGTCCCTGGGGGAATTTGTAATGTCATGAGTTATTATACCTGAGTATAAACTGAGTTAAATCTGGTGACTTGTATTGTATTACAGATGGGCCCTGGTTTTTTTTGTAATGTCATGAGTTATTATAACTGAGTATAAACTGAGTTATATCTGGTGACCTGTATTGTATTAGAGATGGTCCCTGAGGGGATTTGTAATGTCATGAGTTATTATATCTGAGTATAAACTGAGTTATATCTGGTGACCTGTATTGTATTAGAGATGGTCCCTGAGGGGATTTGTAATGTCATGAGTTATTATATCTGAGTATAAACTGAGTTATATCTGGTGACTTGTATTGTATAAGAGATGGTCCCTGGGGGAATTTGTAATGTCATGAGTTATTATATCTGAGTATAAACTGAGTTAAATCTGGTGACTTGTATTGTATTACAGATGGGCCCTGTTTTTTTTTGTAATGTCATGAGTTATTATAACTGAGTATAAACTGAGTTATATCTGGTGACTTGTATTGTATTAGAGATGGTCCCTGGGGGGATTTGTAATGTCATGAGTTATTATACCTGAGTATAAACTGAGTTATATCTGGTGACCTGTATTGTATTAGAGATGGTCCCTCGGGGGATTTGTAATGTCATGAGTTATTATACCTGAGTATAAACTGAGTTATATCTGGTGACTTGTGTTGTATTAGAGATGGTCCCTGGGGGGATTTGTAATGTCATGAGTTATTATACCTGAGTATAAACTGAGTTATATCTGGTGACTTGTATTGTATTAGAGATGGTCCCTGAGGGGATTTGTAATGTCATGAGTTATTATATCTGAGTATAAACTGAGTTATATCTGGTGACTTGTGTTGTATTAGAGATGGTCCCTGGGGGGATTTGTAATGTCATGAGTTATTATATCTGAGTATAAACTGAGTTATATCTGGTGACTTGTATTGTATTAGAGATGGTCCCTGAGGGGATTTGTAATGTCATGAGTTATTATATCTGAGTATGCCTGAGTTCTATCTGGTGACTTGTATTGCATTAGAGATGGTGCTTATTATTGTACAAATACCCTTGTCACAAACTCTTTCGGCACTTAATTCATAATTAGATCTCTAATATCACCACGAATGACCAGGAAAGAGCAAGTTTTGATTTTGAATTAAAATATTTTGATTAAAGGATAGAGAAATGTTGTATCATAATAAAAGAATTATAAGGCATATTTAACCAACTAGACTTTTATGTATGACAATGACAGTTAACCCTATTATGCAGGTATGACCAATAATGTAAATAATACCTAACCGCCATAGGTATATATACCTCAACATTTCAGAGAATAGTTCCTCCTCCACATCGGGGATCTTGATGTCCTCTTTCTCCGCCAGGGGGCCACACAACATGGCGTAGAACACACAACTCCGACTCATCAGAACATATCGGTGAGCTCGGACTGGCATCCCTTCTTTCCCAACCCGGAAGGTGACGTCACAAGAATCCTCAGAGGTCAACATGTGGAGATTACACTCCGCCAAGGTCTTCCCACTTTGCCAGTTGTCAACAAATCCGGAGTTGTCTCCACTTACTTCCACAGAGGCCATAGTGTTCCTGAATGCTGTCTGTTGGGGCGATTCTAAAATGCAGAATTTTACCGGAATCAAAACAGTGTGTCCTTCTCGAATATAAACTCAGAATTATTCCACAGAATTTAAGCCCTAAAGATCGCATTTGCCAGTTGAGTGCGTGTTTCACTTAGCTAACAATTCTGTTATGCTACAAACAACACCCCATGTCCAAAGTAAATGAGTGGTTCATGTTCCCAAGTTCATGTTGCAAAATTCTTGGAAATGGGTTGAATATTTCCACTTTTCGCAAGACTAAGACTGTTTTGTTGATGCCTCACACCAAGTACGTATATTACATGGGCCTCCTAAGTACGACAAGAGTGAGTGAGTTTAGTCTTACGCCGATTTTAGCAATATTCCAGCAATATCACGGCGGGGGACACCAGAAATGGACTTCACATATTGTACCCATGTGGAGAATCGAACCCGGGTCTTCGACGTGACGAGCGAACGCTTTAATCAACAGGTTGCCCCATTGCCCCACGACAAAAGAGAGACTGGATCCAATTTCAGAAGTGTACCCTAATACAAATACAAATTGAATAACACACGTGTATTCAATTTTCCCTTAGACTAGTCTCTGAATGTATATAATTTTGATAGAAACAAACCATTCCTTTTAAACTGAAAAGTAGCCCCAGTGAGATGGGTGATTCAGAACCTAAGAAAGGGCTAGGCAGAAGGGACAACAATGTGGTTCGGGGACTGTGAGACAGACTACTTTTCCCTTTACTTTATTTCGAAAGAATATATTTTCCTTCAGCACCATACATGGCTAACCACATTAGTTTGATTATATCTGTTTCAAAACTACACAGTAGTGCGGGCTGAAATAGCTGAACAGTCGTATATAAACTATCTCACTCCATGGTACAGAACAATCCGGTAATTGCCAAGATGTGTCCTTCACCTTGAGTTCATGGTTCGTGTGAACCCAAATAAGATTTGTTTGGTTGGTTGGTTGGTTGGTTGGTTGGTTGTTGTTTAACGCCGCACTCAGTGATATTCCAGCTATATTTCGGCAGTCTGTACATACTCGAGTCTGGACCAAACAAATCAGAGATCAACATCATGAACATTGTTCTACGCATTTGGGGTACGATGACATGTGTCAACCAAATCAGCGACCCTGACCACCCAATCCCGTTACTCGCCTGTTCCGACAAGCATGGGTTGCGGAAGATTAATTCTAACCGGCATACCTAAATAAAGATAGACCAACGTGCTTCGCATACAGACTAAGACAGGTCAAGGTTATCGTAATGACGTAATCAGTCTCTGCAATTTCCCCATATAAGAAAAGAAAATAGACTGCTTCTAAATTCCACATTGAAAATCGCATTCAACTGGAACAGGTTCAGATATCAACATCAGGCGATTTAAACACGTTGACCTGGTTGACTACCACAGAATGAATAGTATCCACTTCTATCACTGGAATGTTTATTACTTGTCATAATGTGACACAATGTTACATATTCTTTTACTTATTGAAACCATCCCATAGTCTTAACCGTAACTTACAAACGACATGTCAAAACATAGAGGTTGTAACTGAGGCTTCCAATTAAGAAGTAATCACGATACAGAGAATAAACAAATAGACATTTCAATTGAATGTGCCACCTTGACATAAACCATAACAATATGGCATATAACTTTTTGTGAAAATTAAAATCTGATTATGACAAACATAAGCCGAAAACGTTATTTGTTTAAGTTTTCATGTGTATAAAATCCTCATATTTGTCACAAAGTATGCCAGTTATCTCCCTTGACTACAGTCTACTTCCGCGTCTCACAGAAGAAAGTAAGATAAAAAACCTGTACATTAGACTTACATCAGTCTAGGTAACCGAAATGACGAAATAATCTCTGCCATTTTCCTTTATCAGGAATGAAAGTAGAATTCATGGAATCGCCTTGCCTATACCGAAAACGAAAGTATGGTATTTCAAATATGTTCCAAAGATATGTTTTTAACTTAAAACAACTAATCGTCACATTCGCATTTTACACAAACTTGACGTGGATTCAGGCTGCTGTCTCCTTGCACCTGTGTCACATAGTTATGGTTTTACGACAAAGTAAACATCCACCGGAGTCGACCCGTCCTACTCACCTTACTCGGCTGGTTGGATGTCTCGCCACTGAATATGAACATGTCACGTGACAACACAGCGTGGTATGACAATTTATTACCCACTTGGTCAACGTATCGGTAGTTGCATACTAATCTCGTACGTCACACGAGTGTCGTATCGCGTTGACCTGTGTCGTAACGACTTGACCTGAGATAAAAACGATTTGATTGGATAACCGATGACCTCTCAATTAGGTCACATTTGACGTAACTATTTTTTCATTCATAACAAACACGTACATTCATTCATTCTACAACTTAAATGCATTGTGGGAATGTAAACATCGCGAACGTTGCCGTGTCGCTGTTTAATTGCGAGTCGAACTGAGACATTATATCCGTCGAAAAACATAAACGCAATGTGTCCACCAGTGATGTTAGCCGAATGAAGCAACTGCAAACCAAAAAACTGGGTGCTACGGAGTAGTTTACTGTAAGAGGCTGTACGAGGCGATGACAACTTACATGCATCGTTACATCGGTTACCAAGGCAGTGACGTCATTACAGTGTGACGTCATGCAAATATTGTACTACAGTACAAAACTCACTCTCCTACCCAGAGTTCCATGCGGCAAGCCAGCATAGTTATGTTACATAGTTATGTGTGTACAAAACTCTCCCGCAACTTCTTTATGATACCGGTTTCGGTTTGAAACCTAAATATTAACAAAAATACGCTATTTTGTCAATTTAATGCATGTAAGACGTGGGCAATAAATAAAATACCACACTCGGTCTCATTACATACGAATTATACGAAACTCGTGACTTTCCTATGCTATCTGACCTCGATTTCGCTCGGTCAGATACCATAGGAAGGACACTCGTTTCGTATAATTCGTATGTAATGAGACCGAGTGTAATATTCTCTTTAGATCGTTTTCGTATGAAACTACGAGTGCTTTTACTCCCTTCGCTTACATTTAACTTTGTTTAGGTATTTATTTTTATTTTTATTCTTTTTTTTTTTAATTTATTTGTAATTGTTATTGTATTTCGGCGGGTGGGTGTATTTTTGTTGTTTTGGTTATAAGGAGGGCATTTACTTTCAAATGCATTATCCACCAACTAAGCCAGCTTGCTATGACGTAAATTGTAATAAAAACGCAAATTGTAATACTTGCACCAAATTGTAATTAACCTGACGTAAATTGTAATAAAAACGTAAATTGTAATAAAAATTGACATAAACTGTAACACCGAAATTGTAATAAAAATTGCCGTAAATTGTAATACCTTTCGTTGCGGTAAAATGTAAGAAATATCTAAGTAAATTGTAATAACAGTTTTAATCACTCGTAAATACGCGTGTTTGTTTTTCGTTGTATTTCATACATCAAATAAGCTTGTTAGGGCGATAACTCAAGGAAGAAATGATGGATTTTGTTCACTTTTGGTACCAAGGTATATTGGCGAGATTCACCGACACAGGTGAAATTGAGTGACCTTGAGATAATTTTCAAGGTCACAGCAAAAGTCTGAGGGTTTTGCCAATATAAAGATTGTTAGCGCGATAACCCAAGAAAGAATTGACAAATCTTAGCTAAATGACGAAAATGATATTCGTCCTGATATATAATCGATATAAAATCTCTAACTGTCCTCTGTATCATGTCTTTTCGCAAATACCTGTTGAGGTTTTGATATATAATATAAAGTAGGGGATGGGGTTGTTCTAACGGGTATATCCAATCAAAACAAATTAGACATTTGTATATAGCGCTACATATCCAGAGTCCTGCTCATGTGCGCTTAGTCGAATGCTCGTTTGAAGAGGATGGTTTTGAGACAAGATCGGAAACTGTTGATATTTTCCGATTTTCTGACATTTTCAGGTAATCCATTCCAGAGTAAAGCACCCGCTCTGCTAAATGATCTGTCCCCATATGTTGTGGTCCAGACAAATGGAATAGCTTTGCTGACTAGCAATAAAATGCATCACAAACTTCAGGAAACAAAATATGCAAGAAACATTTTTGTATGTTTGAGATTGGTAGAGGTCGGCTAGAATCAAACTTAGATATTAAACTGCACAAAAAAGCAATTTTAAACTACAAGCGCTTGTTCAAATGACTCCCCCTTCTGTTTACTGAAAGAACTCGAGAAAGAAAAGATAACACGTCACAATTTAATTCTGGACTCACAAAAGTCCAGAAACTCTCCGCACTGTGGGCACTTTCTGACAAGGGATTGTTATGAATATATGCCAAGGATGAAAAAATGCAAAAACATGTTATCGAAAACTGGAAATTTAAACTCGCTCGCCCATGGGCCTGCCCATGGGCGAACAGTGGCCCATGGGCGAGAATGTTTAATTTCGATCAGAATTCATGTTTTGGACTGACTGACTGACTGACTGAGTTTAGTTTTACGCCGCTTTTAGCAATATTCCAGCAATATCACGGCGGGGGACACCAGAAATGGGCTTAACACATTGTGCCCATGTGGGGATTCGAACCCGGGTCTTCGGCGTGACGAGCCAACGCTTTAACCACTAGGCTACCCCACCGCCCCTCATGTTTTGGAGGTTGTAAATGAATGAGTGTATGTTTGTAAGCATTATGACACAAATTTCAACTCATTTTAACTTACTTCGACTAACTTAAAGCGATATTAAAAGATCTCGCCCATGGGCGGAAAACATTTTGGCACATGGGCGAGAATATTTACTTTTACTCAATATTTATGTTTTGGAGGTTGTAAATGAATGAATGTATGTTTATAAGCATCATGACACAAATTTCAACTCATTTTGACTTAATTCGACTAATTTAGAGCGATATTTAAAAATCTCGCCCATGGGCGAAAAACGTTTTGGCCCATGGGCGAGAATATTTACTTTTATTCAATATCTATATTTTGGAGGTTGTAAATGAATGAGTGTATGTTTATAAGCATCATGACACAAATTTCAACTCATTTTGACTTAATTCGACTAACTTAGAGCGATATTGAAAAATCTCGCCCATGGGTGAGAATATTTACTTTTACTCAAAATACATGTTTTTTCCATGTTTTGGAGGTTGTAAATGAATGAGTGTATACTTATGGGTATCATGAAACAAATTCAACTAATTTTGACTTAATTCGACTAATTTAGACCGATATTAAAAAATCTCGCCCATGGGCGAAAAACATTTTGACCCATGGGCGAGAATATTGACTTTTACTCAAAATACATGTTTTTCCATGTTTTGAAGGTTGTAAATGAATGAGCGTATGTTTATAAACATCATGACACAAATTTCAATTCATTTTGACTTAATTCGGCTAATTTAGAGCGATATTTAAAAAATCTGCATTATTTACGGTAACATGGATTAGCTAATAGCGCATTGCCGGGAGACCCACATTCACACGATCACTCAACCAGACCCATTTCCGGTTGAGCCACACCATTTTCAACTCTTGTTTTCTTAAAAGTGGCTTTCCCGGGCTATAACTATCAGCACACCCCAATCCGACCATCGGTCATTAATTATTACCTGTCATGAGCTATCAGTTGTATTGGAAGCTCTCGCCTATTGTTTCATTACTTAATTGTTTCACGGATAGGTATGTAGTGACTCCAAATTCACCATATGTGCGTGACTGTCCTCTCCGACGTCCGCGCCCACCTCTCAACCTCGCTCAGCCTGCCTTGCCCCCCTCAATGCTCCCATACCACCCCTTCACCCCACCCACCCTAGAAGGACTTACATGGTCCCTTCATACGTTGGCGATTGTGCACAATTTAGCCATCACTAAAAAACACAAGTACATTGTATCCTACTATTATAAACCTGGTATATCTAAATTTACTTCAAATGTTTTGAGACTTACGTACCCTCTCAAGAAGACAAAACTGTGAAACCCGTGAAGGTCCGGGTTAGAATTGGCCTTCAGTAACCCATGCTTATCGTAAGAGGCGACTAACGGGATCGGGTGGTCAGGCTCGCTGGCTTGGTTGACACATGTCATCGGTTCCCAATTGCGCTGATCGATGCTCATGCTGTTGATCACTGGATTGTCTGGTCCAGGCTCGATTATTTACAGACCGCTGCCATATATTTGGAATATTGCTGAGTGTGGCGTAAAACTAAACTCACTCATCCAACTGCTCCGATCGATGCTCATGCTGTTGATCACTGGATCGTCTGGTCCAGACTCGATTATTTACAGACCGCCGCCATATAGCTGGAATATTGTTGAGTGCAGCCTAAAACTAAACTCACTCGCTCACTCACTCCAAACTGTCAAAATTAGGAACACCTCTAGCTACCAACAATGTCAACAAGAACATAATGGAGTCCCTGCATCAATACATCTTCAAGACTAAACGAATTGATAAATTATTCTAGACCAATATCTGTACAAAAATAATGAAATGTAACTACAAGTTCAAGGTTCCTAAGCACGTACAATGCACATTTACCCTACCTCATGTAATAATGTCTATCTCTGATTGATTCACGTGACCTTGAACAAATGGTGGACGGAAAAAAGTCATGGAAAAAAAGGCATAGAAAAAATAACTTTTATAAAACACCATGTTCTCCAGTTATTTACTTTGTTTATACTATTTCACTTTCAAGTTAATTATTCCTTTAGTGTGACGCTGTAAGCAATTGGATCTTATCAAAACAGGAGAAATGAACAGATTATTATTTGTTTAGTTCTTAACGGATTGTGGGATTAAAAGTCACAAGTCACATGATTGTTTGTTTAACTAGCTTTGAGCTTGACGATATCACACCAATTAATGAACTCATGGGATTATCAGTTAATGCTTTTTACTCAAATGGCTTCCTTCTAGCAGCTAATATAAGACACGCTGGCCGTAAGACTGTGATCCAAACTCTTCACGGCATTGGCTGGAACATTCGGTTAAATAAAATGTGCTAGGACAACTGACTGATGTAGTGCTGTTGCAGATGAAAGTGTTATGATGATAGTGCATTTTCTGATGTCATGTATTTTACTTGAATGATTACATTAATTTTATAAGTTAGGTTCAAATGTGGTAGTGCTATTGATGATAATACTGTTATGACTTGTTACAATCCTGACCTTTTTTGAGTTTATGACTTTTTTCCTATGACTTTATTCCTACCCAAATCTATGACTTTTGTCCATGACTTTTTTTCTACAACCGAACAAATTACAATGTATGCCGGGTGCACGGTTGTGCACTGCTTGGGTGGTGTTGTACAAATCA